ACTTAATAAATGCTTATTAACTGATTGACTGATGGGGGAACCAGATCATGAGTGAGTACAATTTTGAGGAGTATCTCAGAGGGGTACTGTATGTATAGAAATAAAATTTTTAGTTTCTCTCTTCTCATATTGTCCACTCGCCATTTACCTATAGATGACAATTTAGAAATCTTTAATACTACGCATCTTTAAATTATTGTTACAATGAAGAAACAGACATGTGTTTATAAAATGTTGTTGTGCCTAACTTGCACCTTCTCTCCCAAAGTTCCAAATTTAAAAGTCCCACATGATATCTAAGAATGCCAATCCTCTTCTACAATTCTTCCTTCTGAGGGATCTAGCTGCTCCCCTACTGCCTGGGGGCATTCTGGATTATAGAGTACTTGAGACTACTACAACTGTAAGCCATGGGTGGGGGGAGTAGGAGGAAAGGGAATTTAGGTCATTAGTGGTAGCACTGGGGAGAAGCCAGGGTCTAGGGAGAATAGACTCTGATTCTAGCTTCAGGAATAGTTAGCAGTGATAGAATTGCTACTTATGGCAATTCTATTTATGTTAAGTTAGCAAAATTAACTACATTAGGGGGAAATATTTATATATCTATCAATCAAGTTTTTATTAAATGCCTACTATGTACCAGGCATGGGAGATACAAGGATAAAAGTGAACCTTCAGGAGTGTGGGGTCTAGCTGAGTGAACTAACGTCTATCTTTGTCTATTTGTCTCCCTCCCTTCCTTCCTTCCTTCCTTCCTTCCTTCCTTCCTTCCTTCCTTCCTTCCTTCCTTCCTTCCTTCCTTCCTTCCTTCCTTCCTTCCTTCCTTCCTTCCTTCCTTCCTTCCTTCCTCTCTCTCTCTCTCTCTCTCTCTCTCTCTCTCTCTCTCTCTCTCTCTCTCTCTCTATCTCTATTTCTCATCTGTATCTGTATATTATAGCTGTGGGCGTATCTACCTACAAAATAGATGCAAAGTGATTTTAAGGGGAAGTCATTAGCAGCTGGGGTGACCAGGAAGTTTTCATACAGAAGGTGGCACTTGAGCTGAACCTTGAAGGAAACTAAGGGGGTGGGGGGAGAAGAAAAGAATGTACTTCAGGCATGGGTAGTAGCGTAGCCAGTGGAAGGATACAGAAGCAAGGCATGAAGTGTTGAATAAAAAACCCAATAGGGACAGTTTGGCCAGATCATAGTGTCTGTGGAGAGAGCAATATGTAATAAGGCATAGAAACCAAAGTACAAATCATATTTGATTCTAGAGATAATAGAGTTTAACAGGGGTGGTTTCCTGGTCAGTTCTGCAATTTTGGCTACTCCCTTTGGTGGTTGTGTGGAGGACATATTGGAGTGGGGACAGACTCAAGGCAGGCAGATCAATTAGGAAGCTAATTTGTTAATGAAGGCAAGAGGTGATAAGGGCTTTGCTGGATGCTGGCTTTTTGGGGACAGATTCAAGAGCATAGGGGTAGAAATGACAATATTTAGCAACTGAGTGCATATGTGAGGGTTAGTAAAGGACACTGTGGTGTAGTAAATATGGTGCTGGAAGTAGAGTCATGAAAGACAGCCTGAATTTCACCTCTGATACTTACTAGTTGGAGGCAAAGTCACCTTACCTCCCTGACATGCAGGCAGCTCTGTCCTATCTACTAAATCATAAACAGATGCTGAGCAAGAGAAGAGAGTTCCCCGAACCTATTTTAAAATGGTAGGTCTGAGAGAAATGAATCAGAGGGACAGAAACAGATAGAGTTGAGTCAAAGTGCGGAGAAGAGAGGAAAGAGAAGGCAGCTGCTTGGTCAGGGGAATCTGTATAAAAAGCCAGTGATCTCAGGACATACCTAGTGACCCCCAAGCAATAGGCCTTTAGTTACTATAGCCAGGTTCACATTACTCAGCAGAAAAGGGAAATGTCCATGGTAGGGGGAAAGACAAAAATTACTGTCATTTCTGACACCCTCCTTCCCAACTAAAGCATATTTAACCTCAGGATCAGCCTTAGGAATGGTGTGATTTTTAGGGTTTTGAAAAAGGACCTGTGCCCCACCTGACTACCTTTCTTTATTTCACAACTGGAGATAATAGGATCATAGAATTCATAACTGAAAGCTGCCTTGCAGATCATTTATTATAGTCCAGATCTCATGTTGCCTAGATGTGGAAACTGAAGTTCAGAGAACTGAAGCGATTTGCTTGAGGTCACAAAGTAAGACAAACCCAATTTTATTTCCACTATACCAAGATTGAAAAAAAAAAACTATTTACAAATAGATGACAAAGGTTAGACCACATGATAAAGTCCCTTCCAGTTTTAAATTCTATGATTCTATCATTTCTAATTCAGCTCTAATCTATGATTCTATAAATCTGTGTAAACTAGGAAAACTTAGTATATGAGTGTGAATTAATTTCAGTCAGAGTGTGAAAGTTATCAGATCCTTTCCTGTTTTTAGAAGGAGGGGATAGTATTGAGGAAGGGGGGCGCTAAAGAGAAGGCGGAGGACACTAGAGACACACTTTGCCACATTTTGTGGCCATGCATCTATGTTTATTTTTATCTGTGCATGAACATAAGCCGCTTGCAAAAATGTTTCATACCCTTCCAGGCCTGAAAGCTCTGTGCTTCAGTGAGAACTCTGATAACCAGGCTTCATCTGGGTCATACTGATCTGTAATCACCCTCAGCATCATACTGGTTTGCTTATTCTTCATGATTTTCTGGAAGGCATTTCTAGCACCATCCTCAGCAACACTCTCTTACCATCAAATCCAGTTTGTCAGTCAGCTGGATTAATCTCATGATGAAATTGTCCCATTGCAATCAAATCAGGGAAAAATAGAGACAAAACTCAAGTTATGTATGCCTCTGAAGACATATTAGGCCAACATATCATTTCACACAGTGTAGTGATACCAATATAAAATCAGTTTCCAGTACTTCATAACAAGGATGCTGATTCCAAAACTTTAATTATTTTCTTCACAACATTCCGGGCCCCCAGGGCTACTGCTGCATCCTATTTAAAGGGTCTAATGGTTTTTCTTTTCTTGCTCAATCTCTATTTGTTAATATGTCATACTGATATTTCATCAGTGACTGGTTGCATGTTGAAAGAGGGCACTGCGAGCATAGAAAAAAAGGCTTTTCTTGGAATGGGCATACTTCTAGCCACTTCAAAACTGTTTATAACATTTGTGAGAAATTATATTGAATGCAATCATACTGTCATTTTCTACTAGATATTTAAATGAAAGCACAACTACTTTGCAAATGGTCAATTCAATTGACATGAAATAGACGTCACATTCAAAATAAAATCAAATCATAGGCACCACAAGTCAATTTATAGCAAGCCTATCTTCCTCTACGCTATACTGTCCAGTTTGAAATATGTGTATTAGTGTGAGTATGCACACACATATGCTCCCAAAGAATATCTATGAACATATTCATATGTGACTTTGTGTACCCAGAGAGAAAATAGAACATTAAGGAATCTAGCCAGAAAACATTCACTCAAAAGATTTATGAAAAGGAAGCCCACTGATCTTGGTTAACAAATGCAATTTCAGCCCCTCCCCCAACTAAGGAATCTCACTTTTTTTGGTGTTGCTTCCAGGAACAGTTTGGGAATAATTTAAATATGCTTTTGACAATTCTGCTGCTGGTGCTAGCATTTAAAATGTAATTCTCAGGAGAGAAATTAGATAAAAACCCTTTTCTCTCTCCCTGTTTGGGAAAAATCATATCCTGTTCCTGGGAGCACTCATTTGATGCTCCCACCTACTCAAAACACAGGCTACTGTGTAAAACCCCGTGTCCTTCATTTCACAGCAACCTATCATACACTCTTCATTGTGATCTTAGATAGGAACCTCTTTAACATTTTGACACTAACTTGAGTAAGCTTGAGCAACCCTGCTGAGCTTATTTACCGCTCCCCATCCCCTATCAAATACAACAATTTCCAAGCTAACCCAAGTGGAGAGAATAGACTTTTTACAGAAGGTGCCCTAGTTGAATATTAGCACAATGCAAGTAAAACTTCAGGGAAGGGGTTGAGCTCTCTTACTGAAAAGTCCTGCCTCTTGCGGAGAGGAGAGTCTGCATCTGGCATTCCTGCTCACAGAGCAGACACCTTGAACCCATTCTGCTTAGGAAAGCAGAAGCCCAATGTCTCTCCCCTCCTGTCTCCCTGACTTATTTTCTACCAATATTGTCTTGTCAAGTAAGAAGCTCCCAGGTTTGACATGTGGTCCAACGTTGCAAAGCTGGTAAGCTCAAGGTAGCTAAAGCCACTTTGTATGCCCAGTGCTGTCTACTGAAAGCCATTTTCCTTTCCACCCCACTGTCATCTCTCTCTGCGTTTTTGTTTTCCTCTTAACAGTTCTTTGCCTTTTAAGGTTTGCAAATAGCCTTGTGTTATCTTAATTAAAAAATATATATTTATGCTTTTCGTTTTTATTCAACTGTCACTTCTCGATATAATTTCCAACCACATCAGCCCTGAGTCATTCCTTGGAACAAAGAATACAGTTAAGCAAAACCAAACAAACCATCGATTCCGCACCCATAGCCACCATCCTCTCCAAAGTAAGGAGAGAGGTGCATTCCATATTTGGGGGATTTGCTTTTGCAAGCTTCCCCGCCCACCCCCACGCAATCAGCTACTTCCCAGAACTCAACTTTGTTGCCAGTTCTTCTCGTGGGGAGCTTCAGAGCTGACAGAAGGCATGCCTGGTATCCAAAGCAGCTAAGAGGAGCCGCCTTTGCCCCAGGAAAGGGAACCTGGCCAACCTAGCAGCAAAGGCTACCATAGAGCAGCTGCAAGGGTGGGGCACGCCCCTGGAAGAACAGCTGGGGGGGCTGTGACCACTCTAGCTGCAGCTCGAGAGCTCAGATACCCGTCCACCACTCTGCCCATCCTGTCACCCGGACAGAAGTCTTTTTCTGTGCTGTGACACGTCCTGAAAACCAACCCGCCCGGCTGAAGCATCATCACCTTTGATGGAAAGTGTGGCTGCCCTTCTTCTGCCGGCCCGAGCTGAGTCGAATGCCCCCTTGCCTCCCTCCTCCTCCTCCTCCTCCTCCACCTCCACCTTCACCTCCACCTCTTCAGTAGTCTGGATACTGAGCTTCCAGCCACCCTGCACACACCAGTGCCCAACGTGTTCCAGCTGCGGGAAGGTGTGGGGGGGGGACTGCGAGTAAAGGGGGAGGGTCTGCGAGCAGGAAACGCAGCGGCCGCTACCCACAGCTCCCTTTCTCCATAGGAACTTTCCTAAGACAAAAGGAACCCTTCTAGCGATCACAAACCCCCCTTCCCTTCCCGCCCCGCGGCCCCCCCCATCTCTGTGCTGCTGAAAAGCACAATTTTATTTATCCAGAAACATAGCTGCCTTCAGGTCCTGTGTTTATTTTTAAACAGCTTTGGAAATTTCCCTGGAGGGTTTTTCTCTCACCTCCCTAATAGTGCCTGAGGAATCAGAAAGGAAGAAACCTCAACTCAACAGAAGAGGCTCAATCTGGTGTAATGGGAGAGAAAACAGTCACATTAGTTGGTATGGCTCTACCACCAGCTAGCTGGGTGACCTTGAACAAATTATTGGGCCTCATCTTCAGAATGAGGAAGTGAGGAGTTGAACTAGGCACAAGGGTTCTTATTCTTTACTAGGGAAACAAATTTTGGAGGTCCATGAACTTGTCTGGGAACAAAAAAAAATACATCTTTATGTCAGTATAATTGATTACCTTCATGATCTGATGTATTTTATTTTCTATATTCAAAAACATTATTCTGAGAAGAGATCCATAGATTTTACAGACTGCCTGAAGGGTCCATAGAAAACTCTGAACCAGAGGAATCCTAAAGAGGCAGTGGGGAAAAGTAGAATGCTGGCTGCCTTTGGAACTGAAGGACATGGGTTCAAACTTGGGCACCATCATCTAGTCCCTGTATGTTCTTGAGCAAGAAAGACCAGATGAGCTCAGAGGTTCCGTCCAGGTCTGTCTACAATTCTGGGACTCTGAGATTCTAACACCTGATCTCTATTTCTGTTTACTCCTTCTGTGACCTTGACCAAATCACATTCTGGGCCTCAATTTTGGCAGTTATGTGATTAGGGCTTGCATTAGATGATGCGTGAGGGCTTTGTCTTCCAACTTTAAGTCTATGAACTAACCAATCCTTGTCCAGAGCTTTAGAGTTGGAGTCAGATGCACCTGAGTTTGAATCTTCCTCAGACACAAGCTGTGTGACCCTGAGCAAGGAAAAGTTTTTCTTTGTGTCTCCCCGTATGTAAAATGGGAATAGCAATAGTACCTCTCCCAGAGGATTGTTGTGAGGATGTAAAGAGAAGGAACATTATAGTTGGTGGACTGGTGCCCAATTTGTATTCTGCCTTGACTGGCCACTGTGTGACCTTGGGCAGGTCACAGTGACTTTGGGCTTCAATGTTCTCTTATGTAAAATTAGCGGGTTGGACTAGATTGCCTTTAAAATCCTCTTCAGCTCCAGGCCTATAATCCTATGAAATGAGATTAAGTATGTAAAGGGCCTTTGGAAACCTTAAAGTAACAAATCAATGTAAACTGTAACATTATGCAAAACTTCCTGGAACTTGAATTTTAGCAAATCTGCTAGCCTAGTGATCTTAATATTTTTTGCGCTGTCATTTTTTGAACTATCTCAAAGGATTGTTGTTGGGAAAGCACCTTGCAAACCCCAAATGATGCAAGTTTGTTACAATGTAAGTTATACAAAGTGTAAGTTAATGAATGATGTCTAAGCGGATGCTAAAATCAAGTATAGGTTAATTTGGTTTGGACTATATCATAGTTTCTTAATCTTTTTTTGTATAATGAATCATTTTAACAGTCTGGCAAAGCCTATAAACTTTTCAGATTCTTTTTTTAGTGTGTGAAATAAAAGAATTACAAAGGAAACCATGTATATTGAATAATTAATGAGTATTTTTTAGAAACAAGTTCATAGTTCCCTGCAGTCTAAGAAGGCTCTAATGCCAGCATTCTGTTAGTTAAGTTTCTTTGATGGGATGAAATGAGGACTCAGAAGGCACTGAGTAGTTAACAAAAGATTTGCTTTGCCCTAACACACAGCAAGTATACCTAGCAAGGATATGGTGGCACTTAGGTTCTCAGGGCTGGGCCCTTGTCTTTCCATATGGAGATAAGTGTGACCAGCAGGGCAGAATATTGTGAAAGATGTGGTATTTCACATGGTTTTCAGAAATCCAGCAAATTCCACAGGCCTAGAGTCCATGTGGTTGGGACTTTTTATGCCTTTATATGTCCAGGAAGCAAAGGCCTATCAGGTTTCAGGAGATAGATTTTTCTTCTTTTAAGGAAAACTAATCCCATAAAGCAGGGGAAGAAGGAGCCTAGAGGAGTCTGGGGCTGTTCTAGACTAGGAAGGAAGCCGCTTCAATCCTGTAGCTACAAAGCTTATTATGGCCCTTAAGGCTCACTTCTGATCAACTCCCTTTCTGAAAAATACTTAGTTGTAATGCAGTCTCTGGCCATAGTTTAAACAGATAACTTCTCCATCCCTTTTATTTTGTCTGCCCCTTCCCTCCTCCCCCTCCCTCTCCCCTGCCTCCCCGTTTTAATTAGACATTAAAAGGTTAAAGTTAATTGATTATTTTGAGAGGAGCAGTTTTGACATAGATTATAAAGCCCTTTTGAAATCAGGAATAAAAATAATGATAATAATAACTAGCATTTAGATAATATTTTACATGCCATTTATCTAGCATATGATGGAGAATCTGTAAGTACTGGTTAGTTAATCCCTATTTCTTTTAGGTTTAAAAATAAATAAAGATAGATTAGATACAGTTGAATTCCTTAGAAACCCAATGAGAGAGCACAATGCCAAACCTTAGGACTACTAACTTCAACACCAAAGCAAAACCATGTGTTTCCTGAGAATGTGTCTGGAAACACTTCTTTCTTATTCAATTCATGTCCACCTAGGTTTGTGAAAAGGAACTGTGGTATGCCCACTATATTTCTCTGATAGCACTTGAGAGGAATTTATCACTTATCAAAATGTTGTCAGTATGCCACTGTCAGTCAGATGTACTTGAATGCCCAGTTACTCATTCAATCATCGTTGCTAACTTTTAAAATTACTGCTGGGCTTGGCAGTATAGACCTATCATCCTTGGTTTGGTGGCAGCTGAGGCCGGTGGATCACCTGAGCTGAGGACTTCTGAGCTATAGCAGGGCTAAAGCAGATCATATGTCCACAGTAAATCAGGCACCAATATGGTGAAGGGAGCAGGTGTGGGAGGGGAATACCAGGCTACCTAACGAGGGGCAACTCAGCTCAGGTCAGAAAAGCTTCTGGGCCCATCAGTAGTGTTTTTGCCTTTCTTTGAATCCCTAATGCTTAGTACTTAAGCTTGTTGACTGACCTACTGACTTGAAATAAGGAGATCTGGGTTTGAATCCTGACTTTGACTCTTATCTATGTGACCACAGTCATCTGGGTGGCACAGCAGGTAAGAGTGCTGGAATTGAAGTTGGTAAGACCTGAGTTCAAATCCTGTCTCAGACACTAGCTGTGTGATCCTATACAAATCACTTGATTTCGCTGCACCTCAGCTCCCTCTACTGTATAATGGGGATCATAATAGCACCTACCTCACAGGATTATAGTGAAGATTAAATGAGACAATAAAGGTATAGAACTTTACAAACCTTAAAACTCAATGTAAGTATTATTATTACTAGTAGTAGTAGCAGTAGCTGAGTTTCAGTTTCCTTATGTTTAAAATAGGGATAATAATTCTACCTTACAATATTGTTGTTGAAAAGTATTTTGCAAATCTTAATGCTAGATGAGTGTAATTATTATACCTCAACCTACACTTGACCTAGGAAACCTTTTTCAATATCTCCCATAAATGATCATCCACTCTCTACTTGAAGACCTCTAGTGATAATGAATCTACTGTACTCTGTTCCTGATGCTGCCTTTTTCATCTTTGGACAGATCTAACAATGAAGTCCTCAAAGAGATGGAGATCATTTTACTTGTCTCCTAAGGAACTTGTATGTAAGTCAAGAAGCAACAGTTTGAACTGAACATTGGACAACTGATTGGTTTAAGACTGTGGAAGGAGCACAGGAAGGCTATATATTGTCACCTTATTTATTTAACTTATGTGCAGAGTATGTCATGAAAAAGCTGGGCTGGATGAATCAAAAGCTGGAATTAAGGTTGCTGGGAGAAATATCAACAATCTCAGATATGCAGGTGATATCACTCTTATGGGAGAGAGTAAAGAAGAATTAAGAAACTTCTTGATGAGTGTAAAAGCTGCCTTTAAACTTAACATTAAAACAAATAAAAACAAAAACAGCACACAGGTCCTGTTTATATTCTTGGGCTCAAAGATAACTGTAGACAGCGATTGCAGTCATGAAATTAAAAGAAGCTTGCTTCTTGGAAGGAAAACTTTGGGAAATCTGGAAAGCATACAAAAAAGTCAGAGACATCACCTTTCTGATAAAGATCCATATAGTCAAAGCTACAGTTTTTTTTCCCAATAGACCTATTAGGGTAGGGCTAATAAGGAAAGCTGAGAGAAATGACATTTTTGAATTGTAGTGCTAGAGAAGACTTTTGAGAGTCCCTTGGAGAGTAAGTATACAAAATTAATCAATATTTAAAGAAATTAATTCAGACCATTCTTTGGAAGGACAAATACTGAAGTTGACGCTTAAATACTTTGGCCACATAATGAAAAGACAAGATTCACTGGAAAAGGCCCTGATGTTGGGAAAGATTGAAAACAAAAGTAGAAGGGGACAGCAGAAGATGAGATGGATAGATAGTGTCATGGAAGCAATGAACATGAGCTTAGACAGATTTGGGGAGTTAGTGGAAGATGAAAGGGCCTAGTGTGCTATAGTCCTTGGGGGTCCTGAAAAGTTGGACACAACTGAACAACAGCAGCAATTATCAGAAAGTCTTACCTATATCAAGGGAAAATCTGCCTCTCTGTAACTCCCACCATTGACTCTGGTAGTGTCCTCTATGATCAAGAAAGAAACTTCTCTCCCCTTTTCTATGTGGCAGTCCTTCAAATACTTAAAGGCCCCTATCATGTGTCCCTCAAACCTTCTCTAGGCTAAATATATACTGTTATTCCAACTAATATTCATATGACTTTTTCTGCAGTCCCCTCACCATACCAGTCACCTTC